GGTTTTTGAAATCTGTCTCGATCTTTGGTTCACGCTAAAATATCTCCACAGTTATTCAATGGATTGTCATTAAACCTTATCAGCTCATTAAATGACCGCTATCATCACTGATCATTTCCACACATTGTGGACCTGAACTTATAAACCTCCTCAACCTTCTAGTAGCTCAGCAGGTGCATCATAATCCATTCTGATCAAACAGAGAGTTACTGATAACACCAATGATCTCGTGCAGTTGCATTTAAAAAGTGTTTGTCTTTATTAGACACCTTGAAAATGTACAAAGTGGAGCTTTTGTAACATTTGGAATAGCAACAGCAAATCTAGCCAAGTACCGCTGATGCCTGAACTTAACCAAGTGCTCCTGGTGCCTCAGCAAAACCAATTAGTTTTGATGCCTGTAAGTGTAATCAAGTAGTTCTGGTGCCTTAACCAAGCATGTTTGTTGTCTAAACTTAGCCAAGTAGTCTTAGCGCCCAAACTTACACCAGGACGTTCTGATGACTCAACCAAGTGATTCTGGTGCCTCAGCAAAACCAATTAGTTTTGTCATCTAGTAGTTTTGATGCCAATAAACTCAACCAAGTCATTCTGGTGCCTGAACTTAACCAAGTATGTTTGTTGTCTAAACTTAACCACATAGTTTTAGGATTTTAAACTTAACCATGTAGTTTTGTTTTCGAAGTTTAAACATGTAGTTTTGGTGCCTTAAATGAACCAAGTAGTTTTGTTATTTAAACTTAACTTAGTGGACTTATTGCTTAAATTTGAGTTTGTTTGTTTGTGTCTAAACTAAACCAAGTAATCATTGTGGCTAAACCTACACTGGCTTATTTGGATGCTGAACCAAGCAGTCTTGATGCCTCTAAACTGAACCAAGTAGTCTTGATACCTCTAAACTGAACCAAGTTGTCTTGATGCCTTGAAACTGAACCAAGTAGTTTCAGTGCCTATAAACTAAACCCAGTAGTCTTGGTGTCTCAACTTCTTGGATAAATCTTGGTCAAAGCGTACTATTTTCAGTATGTAGGTTTCTGTTGCCGTCAGTAGTGAAGAGGATTCTGAAAAGCTGAAGCGCAGAACTGGTAACCGACAGTCTGCATCCAGTGAGTCATCCTACACTTAAGATAAAGTAGGAGTTCTTTTAAGAACGCTGAACTGTTTTTTATTTAACAAAACAGATTTATTTTTATTTATTTTTAATAAAGAGCAGATTGAGGCAAATCTGAGGCTCGCAATTTAATTCAAATTGGTGATTTAGCTAAAAGGGGGCGGTCACGTCCGTCCCGGTGAAATATCTGGGCTGTAAATCCTGCAGCAGATACGGTATTTACGATCCTCACAGGAGGAGTCGGGAGTGGACTCTAGTTTTTAAGATGACTTACGTAAATAACTGACAAATCAGCTGCGACTTCGAATGAATGTGGAGGGTTCCCAAAGCCGTTTAAACATCTGAAAATCGCTTCAGATCTGGTTTACTGGCCC